TTCCCATACGCCATCAGCAAAACAGGCTGACCAAAGCCACGGCCCCAGCCCTGGCCACTGCCCAGGGTGTATGTACTCTGTGGGCACAGGAGCTGAGCTCCCTGCAGATGGAATCATAGAATCATTAAGGTTGGAAAAGACCTCCAAGATCAGCAACTCCAACTTTTGACCAAATAACCCCACGCCCACTAAACCATATCGCAAAGTGCCATGTCCAGTCATTTCTTGAATATTTTCAGAAGTGGTGACTCCACCACTGCGCTGGGACCCCTGTTCCAATGCTTAACCACTCTTTCAATGAGAAATTGTTCCTAACATCCAACCTGAACTTCCCAACTCGTGCAACTTGAGGCCATTTCCCATTGTCCTATCACTAGTTATCTGGAAGAAGATCCTGACCCTGGCCTAGCTCCACCCTCCTGTCAGGGAATTGTAGAGAGCAAGAAGGTCCTCTCTGAGCCTCCGTTTCTCCAGGCTGACCCCCCTCAGCTCCCTCAGTCACTCATCAGACTTGTGCTCCATCCCCTTTCCCAGCTCCATTGCCTTTCTTTGGACATGCTTATTTTCTTTCTTGTCGTGAGGGGCCCAAAACTGCCCCCAGGACTGGAGGTGCCTTACCAGTGCCCAGCACAGGGGGACAGCCACTGTCCTGGTCCTGCTGGCCACAGTATTGCTGACACAAGCCTGTGTGCCCTTGGCTTTCTTGCCCACCTGGGCACATGCTGGCTCATGTTCAGCTGCTGTCGACCAGCACCCCAAGTCCTTTTCTGCTGGGCCTGGTATGGTTTTCCACCCCAGCCATGGCCACTGTCAGGTCAGCTGCACAGCTCACAGCCCAGCTGTGGCAGCACCCTGTCAGCTGGCAACCAACCACTCCCCCGTGCTGTCCCAGGCAGAGGCATTTCAAAGTGTGGGAGTATGAGGGGCTGCATGGTTCTGCTGGCCTGCAGGTGTAAGAACAGTTGTCCTACAGCACCACTGTGCTAGCAAACATAGTGGGGTCAGAACAGCCCAAGAATCCAGTGGTGGAGATTCGTTCGAGAACTGATTTGATCTACACCAACCAGGATGTGTCCAAACCACCCTTGGGCATGGCCTGGGAGCTAGCACGAGTCAGAAACCATTCCTGGCAGGTAGCACTGATGTGCCCCCCTCTTTGGAACTCATGAGCTTAATACTATGGATGTGACCAAACCCTGCCAGCTGGCCTCGGGACAAGAACAGGACACGGTGCTCCACAGGATACATCTACAGCAATAAATTAGGGGGCTTTTTACATCTAACAGAATTAAAAAGAGTCCTGAACATGTGCAATGGGGGCAACTGGACTCCCAACCTTTAAGTGTATGTGAGGAAATTAAAGACAGGGTCTGACATCTCTGTGACACAGAAGTTTGTGGATGGAGCTTGTAGCAGGCTCCCAGCTCTGCACAAGAATTTTCTAGGCTTCTGCAGGGAGCCCAGCCTGGCCCAGCCCAGGTTTTTGGGCTGGGGATGCTGAGACACGGCCCTGGGACTGTCACTCGATTATTTGAGAACAAAGGCACTGCACTGATTCACAGGCCATGCTGCTGGGTCCACCTGGGGCTGACAGAACTGCTCCAGCTGTACTTAGCCAGAGCTTCCACAGGCCCCTACACTCACTGGTAGCAGGAGGGTGAGAGGATCTGGGGGCACAGCAGAGCCACAGCACACATGGCTCAGTGTGCCAGACCTCACGTATCTCAAACACACCTGGTGCAGCCTCCAGGCCAGCAGCCCTGAACCTGTGTGACAGGAGACATGGTGTCCAGGCTGCAGTTCTGCACTGGAAAAACCAGTGTTCCTTCGTCAGTTTGACACTGAACGAACTGTAGAAAATACATTTCTGAGCACACGGGATTTGCGCTCCTGGCAGAAAAAGATAAGACAGGAAGCCTCAGAAGTCAAAACTTTGGAGGAGTTAACCCTAGATACATGGGACAGTGCTTAATCTAAATGACCTCTGCTCTGCAGCCAGGCTGGGAAAGCTGTAGTTGTTCAGCCTGGAGAGAAGGCTCTGGGGAGACCTCAGAGCCCCTGCCAGTGCCTAAAAATTCCAAGAGAGTTGGAGGGGGACTTTGGACAAGGACCTGGAGGGACAGGACAAGGGGGAATGGCTTCACACTGACAGAGGGCAGGGTTAGATGGGATATGGGGGAGAAAGACTTGCCTGTGAGGATGGTGAGGCCCTGATACAGGTTGCCCATAGAAGCTGTGCCTGCCCCTGACCTGGAAGGCCAGGTTGGATGGGGCTTGGAACAACCCGGTCTAGCGGAAGGTGCCCTTGCTCATGGCAGAGAGGGTGGAATTAGACAGTCTTTAAGGTCCTTTCCAACCCAAACCATTCCAGGATTCCATGATATGCAAGATGAGACCTCACTGAAAGTTGTTACAACAAGACCTCCAAAGGACAAAGCTTTGTGTATCGTCCAGACAGCTCTGCAGCTGAGGTCAGAGTACCTTCATGCCAGAGCTGTTGCCATAAAGATCTGTGAATGCAAGGGCTCCAAAAAACATGCTCTCTGATAACCATGTTCTGGCTATAAAGCCAAGCTGAGCTCTCTGGGAAAAGTGTGCCACTGTTTAGCCTTGCTCAGTGCATTAACCACTAATGATTCTGTATCATTTATAAGTTGTCCAGCTTCACTTTTTATTAAAGCTGTATTACAAAAGGGGCATCCCACAGAAAGCACAGTCACTTACTTAAGGCCTGGCACAGGTTTTCTCCTGCCTGTACAGCAGTGTGCTCCTTTTGAGCCTGATTAAGGGGTGGGAAGACCTGGGCTGTGCGCAGAAGCCAGTAGCACTGCAAGCCTGCATTTGGGCACCAGGAGGGATGGCTGGTGGGCAGTGGGAGGGATGGTCAGTCGGTAGCTGGGCATGGGACCAGATCTGCCACACAGCCCATCTCCATGGGTTAGCAAAGGGGTTGGACAGATACCCCTGATGAGGGATGCTGGCAGATGTGGTGCTGCAGAGGGACGGGGCATAGCTCCATCGGTGCCCTCCTCATCCTGCTGTGACATGGAGAGGGGATCACCCCTGCCCCTCGGCCCGTGCCCTTGGGGCTACAGCTCAAGGGCACCCAGATGTTTGCCCAACTTACTGCTGCAGCAGGGAGTAAGCACCAGACCGCACATCTAAAAATAAGTGGCCCCTTTTTAACACCCCTGACTGCATCTCTTCCTGAATCCGTCAGCACGTATCTTGCAAGGAGACGGAAAACACGGCAGAATGTAGCAGAACGCGTCTGGCACTCGCAATTCGATTTAATATCTCAGTAACCTGACGAGGGGCAAACTGACAGCAGGAGGCGGCTGCTGACAGCGAGTCATCCCGACGAGTCAAGGGGCACAAGGACAGCGGTGCCCTGGGTGCACTGAGCTCCGTGTCCCGGCGAACACCGGCAGGAAGGGACAGGATCCCTGCCAGGCGGGGTCGGCCGCAGCCCGCCGCAGCCCGGAGCGTCTCCTCCCGGGGCAGGAGCTCCATCGGGGCAGGACGGGATGCGGGGGCCGCGCTCCGCGGGTCACGGAGCGCCCGCGGCGGGAGTCCCCGGGAAGGGCAGCGCGGCCGCAGCCGTCCCGCGGGGAGGGGACACGACACGGCCGAAGGCACAGGGGGCTCAGGGGCCGCGGCGTCCCGGGGATGCCCGAGAGGTGCCCGAGGGGTGCCCGGGGTCTGCGGCCAAGGCCACGCCGGGGACGGGGGGAAGACCGGCGGGAGAGTCCGGGGGGCCGCAGCCCACGGCAGCGGCGGGCGCCCGGCAGGGTCCCCCCGCCCGGGGGGCGCCAGGTCCGCAGCGACGCGTGGCCCCGGTGCCCTCCCGGCCCGGCCGCACTTACTGGCTCGCACAAGGCAGAGGTCGCAGCCGAAGAGCACCAGGACGGGGCTGAGCAGCGCCGAGACGCGGGCCATGGCGGCAGGGGCTGCGGCCCGGCCGGGCGGCAGCCCTGGCACCGGCCCGGCTCCCTGTGCCGCGGGACGGAG